CTCATACAAAATTGTCTCCATCCCTTGTTCAACCACCCGAATTGGAATTAAAGGTCTTACCTCAACACTTGAAGTATGCCTACTTGGGAAAGAATGAAACCCTTCCGGTTATCATCTCAACTCATTTAACCGAATTTGAAGAAGAGCAACTCCTCAAGGTGTTGAAGGAGCATAAAGAAGCCATGGGTTGGACGATTGCGGATATCAAGGGTTTGAGCCCCTCCACTTGTATGCACAAGATCTTAATGGAGGATGAATGCAAGCCAAGTAGAGACGCGCAAAGAAGGCTAAATCCACCAATGATGGAAGTCGTGAAGAAAGAGATATTAAAGCTTCTTGATGCGGGGATGATCTATCCAATCTCGGATAGCAAGTGGGTGAGTCCGGTGCAAGTCGTTCCAAAGAAGACGGGAATCACGGTGGTCGAGAACAACAAAGGTATGATGGTCCCCACCCGTGTGCAAAACGGGTGGAGAGTATGTATTGACTACCGCAAACTCAATGCGAGCACACGAAAAGATCATTTCCCATTGCCTTTCATTGACCAAATGTTAGAAAGGTTGGCCGGGAAATCCCATTATTGTTGTCTAGACGGGTACTCTGGTTTTCACCAAATCCCGGTGGCACCGGAAGACCAAGAAAAGACAACATTTACATGCCCATTTGGTACTTTTGCATACCGGAGAATGCCATTTGGATTGTGTAACGCCCCGGCCACTTTCCAACGTTGTATGGTTAGTATCTTTTCGGATTATGTTGAAAACATAATTGAGGTTTTTATGGATGATTTCACGGTACATGGCAACTCTTTTCAAGAATGTTTGACTAATCTCACAAAAATTTTAAAAAGATGCATTGAAACAAACTTGGTTTTGAATTTTGAGAAATGTCATTTCATGGTGAGTCAAGGTCTCATTTTGGGTCACATTGTGTCTAAAAAAGGAATTGAGGTAGATAAGGCCAAAATTGATGTTATTCAAAGCTTACCTTACCCGACTTGTGTTCGGGAAGTTCGTTCTTTTCTGGGCCATGCAGGTTTCTACCGAAGGTTCATCAAGGATTTTTCAAAGATAACAAGACCAATGTGCCAACTCTTGCAAAAGGAGGTCGATTTCGAGTTCAATGAGGCGTGCAAAGAAGCTTTTGACAAGCTCAAAGAGTTGCTTACATCCGCTCCCATCATGCAAGCACCAAATTGGGATCTCCCTTTTGAGATCATGTGTGATGCAAGCAACTATGCGATTGGCGCCGTTTTGGGTCAAAAGAATGGGAGGGCCTCCCATGTGATCTATTATGCATCAAGGACACTAGACAATGCCCAAAGCAACTACTCTACCACGGAGAAGGAGCTATTGGCCATAGTGTTCGCCTTGGAGAAATTTAGACAATACCTACTTGGTACCAAGGTCATAGTGTATTCGGATCACGCAGCTCTTAAGTACTTGATGACGAAGAAAGATGCAAAGCCGAGACTCATCCGGTGGATCCTACTGTTACAAGAATTTGACTTGGAAATCCGGGATAAGAGCGGATGCGAGAACCTCGTTGCCGATCATCTAAGTCGGATCACTTCAAATGAAACTCCTCTCCCATTGCGGGACGAGTTTCCGGATGAGCATCTCTTTTCCCTTACCCAATCTATTCCTTGGTATGCCGATATCGTTAACTTTTTGGTCACAAAAAGGTATCCCGACACATTCACGCGTTCTCAAAAAGACAAGTTGAAAAGTGATGCAAAATACTATGTGTGGGATGAACCTTATTTGTGGAAACATTGTCCCGATCAAATCATTAGGCGATGTGTGCCCCAACAAGAGCACCAATCCATTTTGCAATTTTGTCATGAATTTGCTTGTGGGGGACACTTCGGACCTAGCCGGACTTTGAGAAAAGTCCTTGAATGTGGATTATTTTGGCCAACCATGTCACGCGATAGTTATATGTTTTGCAAAAGTTGTGAGCGGTGCCAAAGGACGGGAAACATTTCGCAAAAGAACCAAATGCCCCAAAATCCAATCCTTGTTTGTGAAATTTTTGACGTATGGGGGATTGATTTTATGGGCCCATTTCCCGTATCATTTGGCAACGTTTATATTTTACTCGCGGTTGACTATGTTTCTAAATGGGTTGAAGCCAAAGCCACAAGATCGGACGATGCCAAAACGGTTATCGAGTTTTTAAAGTCTAATGTTTTTGCGAGATTTGGTGTGCCTAGGGCTTTGATTAGTGATAGAGGGACGCACTTTTGCAACAAAATGATGGAGGCTCTATTGAAGAAGTATCACGTGACTCATCGTGTCTCCACTGCCTATCACCCTCAAACGAATGGTCAAGCGGAGGTCTCGAATCGTGAAGTGAAGTCTATTCTAGAGAAAACGGTGAATCCGACAAAGAAGGATTGGAGTTTGAGACTTGACGATGCCTTATGGGCATATCGGACCGCTTATAAGACCCCGATTGGAATGTCGCCCTTCAGATTAGTTTTCGGAAAACCTTGTCATCTTCCCGTCGAGTTAGAGCACCGAGCATTTTGGGCGGTCAAGAAATGCAACTTCGACATTGACGAGGCTGGAAGGCATAGGAAACTTCAACTCCAAGAGCTAGAAGAATTGAGAAACGAATCCTATGAAAACGCAAGGATTTATAAGGAGAAAACGAAGCTCTTCCACGACAAGTCCATCACCCGAAGAATTTTGAACCGGGACATAGGGTCTTACTTTACCATTCACGGTTGAAGTTATTCCCGGGCAAATTAAGATCAAGGTGGATTGGCCCATTTGTTGTAATAAAGACTTTTGACCATGGAGCGGTGGAAATCCAAAGTGAAGAAACGGGACATATTTTCAAAGTTAACGGGCACCGATTAAAGCCATTCTATGAAAGTTTTAATGCAAGTGTTATTGAAGTCATCCACTTGGATGCACCGGAGTGTTGAACCAAGCTAGAAGGACGTCTCGCCTAAGACGTTAAAGAGAGCATTTTTGGAAAAGCTTTATGCTTTCGTGTTTCTACGTTCGAATAAAGAAGTTTTGAAAATGTTTTGATACGTCTTTTGAAGTCATTTTTGAAGAAATCAAGAGTTTCTAGGTGTTTGGGGCATTTGGGATCAAGAACTAGTGAAGAAACGGAAGAAAACAGAGAAAAATCGATTTCCGGGAGCAGGAGTCTGCGCGACCCGCGCACGGGTGCGCGGCTGGTGTGCGCGGCCGGTCTTCCACATGCAACAAAGATCAAGCTCCAAACTGCAACATATGCGCGACCCGCACGCCCCCTCTGCACGACCCGCGTGCTGCTTTGACGACTATCCCCTATTTTGTTGACCAGCTTTGACTTTCGTTGACCAGGTGGTTTAATGAGTTGACCAACATTGACCGGGTGTTGACCACACTTGTATATGGATTAAAAACCTCCAGCAACTCTTCTTCTTCATTTCATTCTCTCAAAAACCCCTCATTCTCTCTCAAACTCTCAAGAACACATAAACCCACTTTTCACAAAAATTTGATTTCCCGGAGTTCCACCGGTCGGAATACGACGAGACCACCACCATTCTTCACCATTTTCCGTGCTCTACAAACCCCACCTAAAGTTTACTCCGATCCATCGCCGGGTCTAGGGGCGCCACCACCACCCAACTCGCGGCTTTCCGGCCAACTCCCACCACCTCTCGAAATTCCGACATCACCAAAGTGTTTCTTTTTCGGGGATCTTTACATCTAACCAAACAAAACCTCAAAATCTCACCAAAAATTTTCCCATAATTTTTGAGCCACCACAAGCCGCCGCCGGATTTTTCACACAAATCAAGTTGAAAATATCCCTTCAATGAACAAGTCTTGCATTTAGGCACCCACGAATAACCAAAGCTTGGGGTGCACGGTAGCGGATTCCGGGTTCAAGTTCAATTTTGGGATAATACGGGTATTCTCTTTCCTTGGTTTTTATTACATTGCATTGTTTCAATTCAGTAATTGCATCCAATTATGCTTTGGAAATTGCCTAAGATCGTTAGTTGTTGCCCGGTTTATTTGGAAACATTGATTTGAGAAAGGTTGAGATTGGTTAATTTGCTTGGAAATTTGTTCAAAAATTGTTTAAACTTTGGTTGGGATTTTCTCATTTTGTCTCATATTGCTGCCGAATTTTTGTTGGGATTATCGAATTAACCGAGTGGTGTTGTTGAAACCATTTTACATTGTCAAAAGTTGGGTGTCATTATTTCTTGGATTTTTTTTTTTGTGTTCGGTCTAAAGATAGTTGCATTGATTTGAGAGTGGTGAGGTGAGGGATTACGTTGGTGAAGTTGTTTTTGATATTGTAGGTTTCGAAAATGGGCAAAACCACGGCTCGGACACGCACCCATGGATCATCGATCGATCCTAACCCGCAAAAGGATACCGCCGGTCCATCACGCAAAGCAGCCGGTAAACGAAAAAAAGAGGAGAAGAGGGAAGCGATCCTTCCCTTACAAATGCTGAGATCAAAACCTATCGCTCCAATCTTCGGGGTCGCGCAATCCGGCCGACAAAATTCTACCATAAAAAGTCCATGAAAAAGCTTGGGGTGCATGATGGTGTATACCATTTGTTCATAAAACTCGGTTGGCGTGGTTTTCTTCGACTTTGTGACAGAACTTACGAGGAACCCACAATGGAATTTCTTAGCACATATGCACGAGATGATGACACGGAAGTCCTCACATTCCAGTTGAAAGGGGAGCATCATAGACTCACATACGAAGAGCTTGATTCTATCATGGGTATAGACGATCCATTCCGCATCAGCCCCCAAAATCAAGAGTACCAAGATTTTCTGCGTTACCCTGATGCAAACTTTTGGATGCAAATTTCCGGTCTCCCAACCTTCAACCCAAGCCGACAGCGAGCCAAGCACATCGTTCACCCCTTTGGCGAATTGCTCACCGAGTCCTTACGACGAGTATCTTCGGGCGTCTCGAGCCCGGTCAAATCAACAGATGTGAGCTATTTTTCCTCCGAAGCATGAGGCGTGCACTCTCCCTCAGTTTTTCAGGCTTCTTTTTAGACAAATGTGACTCCATACGCCAACGTTCCTCAGGGGAAATTTTCATCGGGGGACTTATCACGATCATAGGTCGAGCCGTCGGCCTAGACTTCCCGGATCCCGAGTACATACCTGTCGACACCCCACCGAACTTCCTGCTAGATTGTGACACTCTCATCCGGATGGAGATGTTGCTCGATCGGGGAACCCGCACGTACAGTTGGTTAGACTCTGACAAAGCCCCGGTTTACATCCTGCCAAGTTGGATCGGTTCTTCATTCGATACAGGCGACCCCGACACTTGGCTTCCTCCAGATCAATTGACCCAAGCAGGTGTATTCCCAGAATTCGGTGATGATGAGGGTGACGACGCAGAGCAACAAGAGGAAGAAGATGACGAAGAGAACGACGAGATGCCCGAAGCTGAGGATCATTTTGACCAGCCCTCGATGCAGCAGCCGATGTTTCCGCATGATCAATTCCAGGCCCCTCCACATCATTTTGACCAGCCGCATCAGCAGGAGGACACGAAGTCCCACCATATTTCCCCCCATGTTCTTTGACCAATTTGCCACAATGTTCTCCACGGTGCAACGCATCGACGCCCAAACGCAAGAGAATTCGAGAGCCATCCTAGATGTGGCAAGCCGTGTTGATCGATTGGAGCAGTCCTCCTCTCACACTTCCCGCCAGGTCCAGGATATGTGGGACTACCACTATCGCCACGGGCATTTCCCGCCGCCCGACCCCCCGATTTAGGTCCTTTCCGCCCTTTCCTCAAGCATTGAGGACAATGCTCGTTCTTAAGCTTGGGGTGGGGCATTTCATTTTCCTTTTATTTTTTTCATGCATTTTTAATTAGGTTGCATAACATTTTAGTTTTAAGCTAATTTTCATTCATTTTTTTTTAATTCCAAAAAGATTTTATTTTCTTCTTTTTCCACTTTTTATTTTTGCATAACATTTAGCTTAAGACATTAGCATTCATGCATTTTTGTTGTCTGTTTATTCTCACCTCTCTTGGATGCCATGGAACAGGTTCACAGTTATTGTATCATTATTGGTCCAGGATCTTGTTGCTATCTCACCCATCGAATCGGGACCACTTTGGGATCAGATGCTGGTAGCTTAAAGGGGTAAGTGATCATGGCCAGGTAGTTTCATGAAGAATTATGCATACAATACTAACAACTGTAGGATATACTATAGCAATGGGTGTTCTTAGCCTTGCGGTCACTACCGCGGAGAGGATCACACTTGATCATGTTTGAACTGTTAGGATGAAGCATTGGTGCTTGTCCCCGAGTAGAATCCATATCCGGTCTCTTACATCACCATATCTTTTTGCGATTTTCTTAGAATTTAGAGAGTCTTTTAGTCCACATTTGGACATTTTCATTATCTTTGAAAAACCACAAGTTTGAAAAGGAGCTTACATTACATCTTTATGCTCACACATGGTCATTTTCACACTTAGCCATTCGGATTATATTACTACCCTTTCGGTTCCACTACACATTTGGGAACCAAATTTTGAGTCAAAGGGTTTTCATACTCAAAAAAAAAAAAAAAACAAAAAAAAACAAAAACAAAAACAAAATGAAGCATGCAAATTTTCAGTTGCAACTATCTTAGATAGGTGGCCGGTTCAATTATTGAACAAATTTCCCAACATCTTGGTCACCCGGCGTTTGATATTCATTTATTTATGTATGTTTTATTATATATAGATCGAGTTGTTTTTCACAAATTGGTGATGTTAGAGAGACTGTCGAGTCGGATACTACGGGAGGTTTGGGCCAACACTAAGTGAATGATTCCTACAACGGTGCCCGAGCGATTAAACCTAGTTACACATGAGAGAAACCGGAAAGATCAGAGTGTGCACTTAAAAGAGCCACCCGAGCCCATCAGTTGCTTTCTCCCTACTACAGATGTTCTCATTGTATACATGTTCCATTGAGGCTGCGACTGCTCATCCCTCCTTACTCACCTAAAGGAGTTGTCCTGGCTGTGGTTTATGGTTCCATTGTCATCGGATGAAAAAGTTGTGAGATAGCAGCGAAATCAATTCTGACCATGTTGACTAACGTCGAACAGGTTCCATGGTTCTATCCATTCTTTTTATTTCTAGGGTAGTTCATCCCAAGTTCATTTAGTCTTGTCTTACTTGAGGACAAGTAAGGTTTAAGCTTGGGTGATTTGATAGCTTCATTTTATTTACTTCTTTTTATAGTTTATTTTAGCATATTTCATTCATAATTTAGATAATTTCCATGCATATTTTCCTTTTTGTTATTTTATGACTATTTCGGGTACTCTCGAATCTTGTGAGCATAATTGCAGGTTTTCGGGTCTAGCGGAGCGGGATTGTTCGGGACGTATAGGAGGCGATGAGATTTGGTAGACAAAAATGACGTTGGGCTTGATGGGTAGTGGAGATGATGCATAGAGTGATCTTGATGATTATTTGAAGACTTGGAGAGAAATAAACTTTAATTTGCAAGATGCGGGGGAATATTCAAGCGTACGTAAATTATTAATCGGGCGATTCACGAGCTTTGGAGGATTTGGAAGGTCAAAT